TAAAAACAAATGAACAGTATTGGTAAAAGCATTACAAACCATCTATGTATTTGCTATAATAGATTGATTAAGCGACCTTACTTTTAATTTATTTTTTTGCAGAGAAAATCTTTACAATGTGATTTATAGCATGAACGGTTCTAATCATAAGCACAAAACTCTATAATTAAAACACTAAGAGATTTGAGTAGAAGTTCATATTCATCTTTGAGTAGCCAATTATTATTCCTAATAAAATCGATAACCTTAAAGAGAAACATATACGTTTAAATGGATAACAACTAATTGTGTCAGGCCTATTACGTTTTAAAGAAATGCATTATTTCAACCAAAGAATACCACATGGTCAATTGGCCAAACCCACAAATCCACACCACAACCCATATAAGACGCAAACCCACACCATAAACCATAATAGGAAAATTAATGAAAATAAAACTTTGAGTTTTAACGATAATGAAAAAATAAAGGGTAAAATGAATAATACTATGATTGACTTTTTAGTATAAAAATATAATTTTTTGTTAAAGTAAACAGTACGGCAGCTTTTGGTTAAAGTTTTCTATTTAAATCAAGAAAATGACAATTTCGTAATTAAAACCAAATTTCTTGTTCAATTGAACCACGCCTCCCCAAATAGAGTAATTTTGTTTGTATGTATGGGAAAGGAGAGGACCAAACAAGCCATTATCACAGCCTATCAAACACCAACAGACTCTTGAGCAGCAGACCAAACTCCAAAGGCTCCCCCTTCCAGTTTTTGCTGTTTTCGAGGTCATTTCCTTGGCACTCTCTTCGGTACTCTCTCTCTCCCCTCTTTACTTTCTGGATTTATAGATTGGGATATCACAAATTCTAGAACTTGATTGTCATCCTGCACTCTAGGAACCAGAAAGGACACAGCTTTTGGTACGCACACTCTCCGACGTAAATCTCAAGTTGAAGTCTATTTATTTTTGTGTGAAGTGGTTTTCTGGTTTTGATGATTTGGCTGGTGGGTTTTCATTTGTTGGATAAAATTTTGATTTGGATTTTGGGTATTTCTTGATTTGGACCATTTCGTTGATTTGATGTTGTTATTGATTGCTGACGACCTGTGGTTGTATGTTTGGTTGCTCGGAAAGTGAAGGAAAATGAAAATCTATTGTTAAATTGTGTGTGTGTGGTGGGGAAGCTAGATTTCAGCTGGGTAGACTACAGAATCGTTACTAATTTCAGATGGCCAAGAAAAAGGGTAAATATTGTATATGATCGGTGTGTCGTTCTGCTTTCTTTGTCATGGAAATTGTTTGCTTCTGAATGATTAACGAAGTTGGACAATGCAAAATTACAGTTGTTAGATGCTAATTGAAGTATTTGTATGCGGGTGCGCGCGCACGTGTGGGGTTCAGCTGAAGGGGGTATGGACTGTGTTGTATGTTCATGGTGGGTAGGCTAGATAGCAAAGCATTTAACTCCTACTTTTCGACTGCCAAGCAGATAAGCTGAATATTGTGTAGGATAAAATGGTTATTTGGTTCCTTTATAGAGGAATCTGTATAATTAAATTACAGTTCTCGTATGTGAATTGAAAAGTTTCTACAAATTTTATCGAATTTTTTAGATGGTACAGTTGTTTTGACCAGATTGAACTCAAGTAAAAACTCAGGGACTGGTTAATACAAGCTGAAATCATAAGTATATCGACCAAAAGTTGGTCTATTTCTTGAGTGATGGTTATAATACATATTTTGCGAAATTTCACATGTTAATATATGCATATGCTTTATGTATCATTTCCCCATGTTGATTTTCATGCTATCAGTGCTTCCCAAAATTGCTTCATATGACAATTTACTCGTACTTGTTTCCTTAGGTCTACGCATAAGGGATGAGTACACTAGATGCAACTAGAGCCGAACTTGCTCTTGCAGTTCTGTATCTGAACAAGGCTGAGGCCAGGGACAAGATATGCAGGGCAATACAATATGGTTCTAAATTCTTGAGTAATGGAGAACCTGGAACAGCCCAAAATGTGGACAAATCAACTAGTTTGGCACGAAAAGTTTTTCGTCTGTTCAAGGTTAGGATTTGTGTGACATGTGCCCTTTATTATTGGTAACAAACTTTCTTTGTGGCTGTTGTGCTCCTTTTAAATTTTTGGAAGAACCAGAGGGAGGAATGATAATGCTTCAGCAATGAGGCCTTCATTAAGTTTTTTGTATCCACTCTCATGCTTATTAGGAGGACCTTTGGTTGTCCAAACGAAATATGACATAGAACTTGAATTTCAAGCCTTTCTATTCTTGAACGTTGTATGAATTGTCTTTTTGGTTCAGTTTATCAATGATCTGCATGGTCTTATTAGTCCAACCGCTCCAGGGACTCCTCTTCCACTTGTTCTGCTGGGAAAGGTATAGATATAATCTACTTCCGGCTAAAATCTATTTTCATATTTTTCTTCATGATGACAATCTACATTGATGCTTTACAGTCCAAAAATGCATTGCTGTCAACATTTCTGTTTCTTGATCAAATTGTCTGGCTCAGTAGAACAGGTATTTATAAGGTATGTATTATCACATTTCCCGTACAATTGTAATCTATTGGGTTCTGTGATATTCGGTGGGGTAAAAGTTTAGAAATTATGTTTGTTATAGAACAAAGAACGTGCTGATCTGATTGGCCGGATCTCGCTTTTCTGTTGGATGGGCTCCTCAATATGTACCACTTTGGTTGAGGTTCGTTGCTTCCTACCCATGCCTCCTTTACCTTTTTCGAGATATACATGGCATGAACAATGTATTCTTATTGCTTCCTAAGTCAGATTGGGGAGATAGGAAGGATTTCTGGACAACTTAAGAAGTTGGAGAAGGATCTGAAGAACAGTGAGAAGTATCATGTATGTTGACCACAGACCTTGTAAATCCATTGACCATAAAAAACTTCGAGATGGTACCACGTTCTTTACATTTTCATGTGGATTTGTGACTGCAGAATGAACAATACCGTGCTAAACTCAAAAATTCAAATGAGAGGTCACTGGCCCTGGTTAAAGCAGCGTTGGATACAGTGGTAGCAGTTGGGTTGCTTCAGTTGGCTCCTAAGAAAGTTACTTCTCGTGTTACTGGAGCCTTGGGATTTACGACTTCTCTGATCTCATGTTATCAGGTTTTTATACTACCTTCATCCATGAACATTTGTCTGTATGAATTTGTAACGGATCCAAAGGCGTTTTTCCTATTGTTTTCGACTGAGTCTCCTTTGTGCCTGTGATGCAGTTGCTTCCAGCACCAGCAAAGTCCAAGGCAGCCTAAAGATCGAAGTCTGTTTTCTTGATGTGCATCAGCGTCCGTTTAATAATTGTTTATACTTTTATATGAGTATTTGTTAGTTGAAACGTTTGAGCAATTTGAAAACAAACTTTAACCATTACTTTGTTACCATCAATAATGCTTTGTGCAATAGAAATTAGTCATTTGATAATTGTATCAGCTCAGCAGCATAACTTTCGTTAGGGTTTACGTTATCTGCAGCATTACTTTCGGTTTTTTTTTTTTTTTTTTTTTGTTTAAACGATATTATCAACACTAAAGAGGTGAGGAGTAGGCTAAGCCTCACATTGGACTATTAATAATGTGGTTCAAATTCGTCTTTGGAGAGAATTGAATCAAAGACATCTCATTTACAAGTAAAGAGAAATACCACTAGGCTGAAGTACTAAGTGGCGCATCATTACTTTTATTCCTGGTTATACGTTTAGATGTTGATCTGACTTCGTTAGCGTTTCATCTAGGGTGCAAGGAAAATCTATTTTCCAATACGAAAATTTTGTGCCAAATCCGAAAATTTAGAATTCTGAACGTTTTCGAATAAAATTGAATGGAAATTGAATTTAAAAAAAATCTGGGAACTCTATATAGATCTTATTTTTTTCGCAACTTGCACCCAAATGGAAGTAAAAAACATTGCTGCAAAAGTTTGAAAGTTTTCAAAAACTTGTATTCCAAGTATTCCAAAATTAGAAACTGGAACTCATCTCTGATCTGATACGTCCAACAAACACCTAGTTTCACTGCAAGTATTACTCTATTCTGGTAGATATTAAGAAACGTCAAAATATAGACCCAATTATAGAATTACAATCAAAATATGTCCAAAGTTCGATTCTCTCCAACGTAACAAAACAAGAACATTTTTAATTTACTTGCAACAAAAGAGTAAGAATAGAAGATTAACGAAAAAAATGAAGGGCATGTAAAATTAAAATAATTTTGAATCTCAAGTTCCTGCATTTACTAAAATGTAAATATACAAATCAGTTCACTTTTAAACCTTCCCTCTGTTCGCAAACATGTAAATAGTCGTGTTAACTACCCTTTTAAAATTCATAATCAAATACCTAAATATCAAGAATTAGATCAAGTAGGGAGGGCTAGTTGATATGAATCTATTCCTTAAGGTCATCTCCAATGGAAGGGGCTAAAGATCCAAAAGTAAAAAAATAGCGTGATTTGCCCAAACTTCATCTCCAACTAATGATTGTTCTATGGCGTCCACCGGACCATTATTTGGTTATATGTAGTCCCCCTCTTAGCTCTTTTTTAGGGGCCCAATACTTCAGTTGTGCAATAATTGATTCAAATTCAACCGCTAAATTTGAAAACATCCAAAAGCAGTTTAATTAAAATAACCAATAAATTTAAAATATAAACTTAAAATTTATACATTATTGAGGGAGCTAAGTTTAGCCTCTTTGGTTGGAGATGGTATGAGTATGACCTGACACTGTTGATTTAAAAATAATTTTTTCAGGACAATAATTCTGAACGGAGCTATATTTAGCTCTTTTGGTTGGAGATAACCTTTTGGTTCTTATTTCTAAATACTCCCCTTCCTCATTCAGTAGAGATGGCCCAAGAGGAGAAATATACTTCCAACATATAATTTCAATTCTCAAACAATGAAACAAACACCAAAAACATCATGAAACAGACCTCAAATGTTCAAACACCTCAAAGATACAAGCAGGTATACCTGGCATTTAGTAGGATTACTGTTTTTAACACCTCAATTATATCTCTACAGCAACTGTTTATCACATTATCACTCTCACTTTACGAGGGCTAATACACTCGAGAAAATTAACCCCAGATGCGCAGATATCCAATTCAAAGAGGAAGGACAGAAGCTATGGTTTAGAAACGATCAAAGAAAAAACCCGCACCTTGATACATGTAATTAGAGGAAATATTCTTCATCGGATCCGTCCTCTTCCTCCCCTTGGTATTCCTCCTCAATACCTACTAGATTCCAATTCACAATTGGCTGCATGCCTCTCATATCCTCCAAATTAACAGTGGAGATAACAATGGACCCGTTCTCGGGCAAGTTCTGTGGGTTGTGCAACTTGGCCTGCACGTCGTTCTTCAACACAAACTCCCCAGATGGTTCATGAATTTCAACGCCAAATGCAGGCGATAATGGCTTCCCTTTGACTTCAACATGAGACACACTGCAACATGCAATAAAGTGCACAAAATTAGAAAACATGCAAAACAACACTCTGCCATAACAAAATGGGTGATCGAACCAGCTAGTCTAAACAAAAAAATTAAAAACTCCTGATTGATCATCTATCTCATCAAGGAATTCCCTTTCCTGAGGTAATATTTCTACCTATACAAGTTTTCGATTGTCATGTTGCAATCCCAAAACCCATATGTCATGACAGCAAAAACATCTTATTGGTCTAGTGATCCTAAAATCTTATAAATCCTGTTCTTTTCCTCTATATCGTTCTATGTTTGTCTATTTCCAGTACATTCAACAGATAGGAACATAAGAATGACCACTAAAATTAAAAACTAAAAATTAAAAGAGGGTGTGAGGCTTCAAGCCTATCCATCACGATACTGGCACCTGGCGGGATTATTCTCTTTCTTATTAACAGAAATATCATACATAACATGATAACAAACAAATAGTACATTTCTTCAACACTAAAAAGAGAATACACAGAAAAATGAAAAATAATTGGGGAAATGCACAGATAAAGCAAACATGTTTCCTCAGCTAATATGCCATCAGGTATCAACAAACTGAGGCACAAAGACATGCACACAGCAGAAACAACAAGCTTCACTGATCAACTGAAGCTAAAATAAAGAAAACGAAAGTAATTGTTGTTCTCGAGACAAAAGATGCGGAAAAGAGTTCACATGTAGAATTTTTTCAGTTTCCCATCCTTCATATCAAAATGACTAAATCCAATTCATCTTCACCATTCCAACAAAAGTTACTCAACTTATCCTGCCACTTCATATCACTTTTTTAAGAATCTATACGCAATTTCTTAATGTAGTGGCGTTTGTTCTATTATAATAAAAAATTGAACCATGTGAACTTACCATTTTGCAGGCTTACTACAATAAAATTTTAAAGCCAAATATCCAACTGACAGAACAAGAGTGATGCTGTTACCACCACCCATGTTTCCCATCCCACAATCTCTTATTCTTTGTAACATATTACTCGATCAGCAGTATCACAGACTTAACGTGCCTCACAGTCAAAGAAAAGTATTGAACCAATTATAGGAAAGGAGTCACAACATAAGTTTGTATTAAAACAATTGCACCATGTTTTCGGTCAAAAAACCCTAGTAACATTTCTATAGTACTACTCAGTTCTCTTTTTTAAGTTTGTCCTTTAAAATAATTTCATCAACATAGTCATTAACGAATCAACAAAAGTCAGTGGAGTGAGCATTTCGAGGATGGTATTAACACTCAAGAAAATAAGCGCAGAACTAACCATATATAGAACAAGCCATCCATTTCTTGTCTCTGTACTCTATCCAGAAGCTCAATCTGCAAAATTCCACCTATGCAAAGAACTGGTTCTGGAAGCTTAAATGTCTGCAGGCGGTTCTCCTGTTTGTAAATTATCTATTAGCTTATTTAAGTCAAGTATCTAATCATAATCTAAGACTTCAAATCCAGGATTTCCAGTTTCTATACTGTAAAAATGTCTAGAAGATCCAGAATTTTCAGTTTGTAGTATGAATTGAACGGCCCAAACGGCTCATTTTCTCTGCTTCAAAGTTTCTTTATTAAGTAATGGAAACATAAGGAGTGTGTCACTTCTTCCTCCCAAATGGAGGGAACATTAAGTATCAAGGGAACCATTTCACAAATGCAGAAAGACAGTTAAGAAGTACAGATCAGGTGGCACACACCTGAGTCATTGGGAACACTTCTGAAGTGTAGGTCCATACGAACTTGTTCTCATGACATGATTCATCCTTTGAATCACACTCTACAACCACAAGGGATTTGGCACGACCCATACGAAATCGCACAGCCTTGGCTGAATATATGGGTAAACCTGCCTGGAAAAAAGCTGTAAATGGGAAAAGATAAAGAGACGCCAATCAGAGAAATTTAGAGAGTAAAAAATGGCAAAATCCACAATTTGGAAATTCAAACACTTGCCTTGGAAAGGATGTATGTTGATTTCATTAATTACAACTAAATCAGACACCAACTTGTATATCAGAATCTCAGGCACTGCAGGGTCACTTTGGCCTTTACTTGACCAATACGAAGCTCTCTGTCCCACCATGGCTCTTGGTTCTAGAGTATTGTGGATGCTTTCTTCTGGATAATTGTCGGTGCTGGAAGCACTGATTGCCTTAGAAATAGAACTCCTCACATCGAAAGAAATAAAACCACGAGCTAAAAAAGCATAGACCCTATGCTCCCTTTCCAAGGTTTCCAATTCCTTTGACTTGCTAGATCCAACTTCTGCAACCTCTTCTGCGTCAGGGCTGTTTAACTCAACCACACCAGCAACTCCAGATAACTGAGGAAACATTCTCAAGCACAACTTTTTACAAAGACCATTTTCTATCACTGCATATGATTAAATGTTACATACTCTTCAGCCTCGTTTGGTAATACTGGAAAACTTCAAACAAAAGGGATATAAATCTTCCAAAAAACCCACATTGATTTCCATTTAAAATATTCATCTCAAACATCAGTGAGACATAATTATAACGGTTTCAGAAATTCTCAACCTAACAAATTGATGCAATCACATAACAACCAGAAGAAAACATATTAATAAAGGAATCAATCCATATATACAATCTTGATAGAGAGCACAGACAATAAGTATATAAAACTTGCCACCTACAAACAACTTACTCAACTACAAGAACTTATGTGAAAAAAAAAATCAACTTTATATCTTTCCTAGGCTTAATTACTAAGCTACACACATGTATAGCACATATAATCACAATTGGAGTTACGCATTAGTAAACTTAAAAAAGCAACGAAATATATTAAACTGCTTCAAGCCCTCAACTCACCAAAATGACGCCAAGAGCGTGAGACAGAACTAACACGAACAAGATCATATAGATCGTCCAAACAAGTTAGGACATTTAAGGACATGTCAGGTTCAAGCCAGTTCAAGAAATCCATACAAGGACCCATAGCAAGCAACTACGAGATTAATGAACCAAACCCGGGTGCCTTTCTGAGCCTCAAGACCTGATTTCAGAAAGTAAGAGACCATCAATACAGTACATAATGATAATTGAAAGAAGAAAAAAAAAAAGTAGAAGTAATGCAAATTCTGCCATGTATATCGAAACAACATAAGCTATAAGCCTATTGAAACAACAATCTAACAGCAGAAACTATAATTAAGCAAAATTAAGAAATGCCCATACAAAAACAATGGAATTGATCACATTCCTGTCATGCATGGCATCAAATTTCACATCAATTACTGTAATTCAGTGTCGAAGTGGCGATGACGATTAAGATATGGGAAAACCACAAATTTTCAAATCATTACTATAATGTCACATCAATTACCGGAATTTAGAAAAATAAAAAAGGTTAAATCTTGAAACCAGAATTCATAATTGCAAATTCATATGTTGGAAAAATTGAAACAACACGAAGAAATTGAAGGGAGCTGCCAGCGAAAAGTGAGTAAAAGTAAAACCGAGAAAAATTAGAAAATTGGAACAATTTTATCTTTTCAGAAAATATAAAAGCGCACAGAGAGGAGGAGGAGAGCAAGAAGGAAAAAAACATCGAATTCTGACCTTTTCTTGACGAGCAAAGGTGTCTCTGAAATGCCCGAAACCCTAGAAGAGAAGAAAGATTGGGGCACAGAAGAGGAGGGGGGGGAGGGAGAGAGAGAGGGAGAGTTGGTGATAAGCACCCGAGAGAGATGGCGTGTAATTACAGAACAGAAAATGATGAAGTGAGACAATGGAAGGGAGAAATTTGGTGTCCCGATACTTTCATATCTTATCTTTTAAAATTGATAATGTCATACCACATCTTACGAATTTATGTCAATGTTATACTTTTTGTTAGCTTGATGTGAATTTCTCAGTTAAATGTTGACATGATTTGATTCAGGACTCACTTTCTTTTTAAAAAAATTATTAAAATATTATTAAAAACTAAAAAAAATTATTTAATATTTTTTAAATATTAAAACAAAAATTCCAAAAAAAAAAAAAAAAAACCCTCACTTCGTCCCTTCCCCCCCCCCATCTTCATCTTCCTATGTAATCTTCAACCAAAAAAAAAAAAAATTTGAAAACCTATCAACACCCCCCCTCCAACCAGAAGAAGAAGAAGAGAATAAAATTAAAAAAAAAACAAAAAACCGCAACCCAGAAAGAAGAAGAACAAGAAGAAGGAAAAAAGAAAAAAAAAAAAAAAACCAAACCAAATGCAATTCGTCCCCTCTCCCACACCCCCCCCCCCCCGGGCGGCAAAAAATAAAAAAAACACAACAAACCCAACCCCCTGCAACCCAGAAAGAAGGAGGAAAAAAAAATTCCAAACCAAACCCAGTTCCTCCCCCCCCCCCAAAAAGAAGGAGGAAAAAAAAATTCCAAACCAAACCCAGTTCCTCTCCCCCCCCCCCCCCCCCCCAAAAAACCCAACCCCAAAATCCACTACTCCCACCTAGGGGTGGTTCGGTATGGGATCCCATACCGAAACCATTGTCCCGATTCCCAAACCGAAATTTTTGGGAATCCCAAATTCAATCCCAATCCCAAACCAAATTTTCGGGAATCCCGAAATGTTTTTGGGCTTTTGGACTAAAATTTGACATATTATGTTTTTGGGCTAAAATTTGACATATTATAAAGTAATAAATAAAGTAACAAACTCAAAAGCAAAAATAGTAGTTACAAGCCAAGGTTTATAAATAAAGTAACAAACCCAAAATCAAAAAAATTAGTTATGAGCCAAAGTTTCAATAATTAAGTTACAAACCAAAAGCTAAAAAGCAAAGCTTAAAGTCTATAAATATTGTTGGCCTCTTCGGCCCCTTCGTCCCCTTGATCTTGTTGATGCTTGTGGTTGCTCCCTTCTTGTTGGTAATTGTACTCTTCCCCGTGATGTTGATGGTTGAGCCCTTCCCCTTGCAATGGGTGGTCGTGGAAGTAGTGATTGATTTTGACGTTGTTGAACTTCAACTTGGAGTGGTCGAGGAGGTGGAGGTGGCATTTCATTTTCTTGTGTTGTATTCTCCTCACCTCCCAAATTAGCCGTGCCTAAAACAATAAACAACAAATCATTTACATTGAATTATAGTCTAATAGATAATAAATACTAAGAAATTAAAAGAGGAAATTGAATTGTTTACTTACTTCTTTCTAAGCGTTCAAGCTCCTTGTAGAAATGGAATTCGTCAAGTGTAGGCTCCTTGTAGAAACAAAATTCTTTTCCTCTAAGCCAATCACTAGTACACACTAAAGCCTCAACCGTTTTAGGTGTTAAGGAAGTTCTAAAAGGATCAACAACTCTCCCACCAAGACTAAAGGCATTCTCACTAGCAACGGTGCTACTAGGAAGGGCCAAAACATCCTTAGCAACTTTACTAAGAGTTGGATATTGAGCACAATTTCCTTTCCACCAATCCAAAAGATTGAAACCCTCATATGTTAGGCTTTGATGTGGATCATTGAAGTACATATCCACTTCATTGGCTATCTCATTTTGTTGTGCCTCCGCTCTCTTTCGTTGGATCTTCTTTGTCATCCTTGAAGCAACATCAATATCTACAATCACACCCCCCACATCATCTAGTACAACACTTGATCTTTGCTCCACATTTGAGGTAGCACTACTACTAGTACTACTACTACTAAGGACCACTCCCTCCTTGTATGCATTATACAACTCGGTTACATAGCCTTTAACCCTTACTTTCTCCTCCCTTATTTTGTCTCATCCATAGCCGAGCTCTTCTAGATTTGTCTCCAACATATCAAATTTGTACCTAGGGTCGAGTACTTGGGCTACAAAGAGAATAGGATTCACCTTTTCAATGTGACCCCAATATTTGTCAAACTTGAGCTTCATTGAGGTAGCCATACTTTGCAAAATGGCATTAGAGGCGTTTAAATTTGTTCTTGTATCTCCACTTGCAAGGCAATCACTGTGCTAAGTATTAAGTGTGACGTTGGAGTAAGGGTTGTACTCAATGTCAAGGTGGCATCATAAAACTTTTTAAGAAAGTGAGCAAAACTCATCGATCTTTCCCAATCATCCACCTCCGGAGGACCCACCCGCTTGGTCTTTGTTGTCACCCCATCAACCTCTTTCGAGACCTCCTCTTTAAAGTAAGCAATAAAAGAGTCACACTCAAAGGCCATCTTAGAGAACACTTCTTTAAACTTGAAAGAACTATTAAGCATCTCATATGTGGCATTCCACCTTGTGACAACATCAAAAGGGATACTTGACATCCTATCAAATCTCAACAAGACACAATATTCCCTAAAAGACTCCAACCTTGCCGGGGATGAGTGTATAAACTTCACACAATTTCTTATGGCATCAATTTCACAACTAAGCTCCGTCATTCCATCCTTAACTATCAAATTGAGGATGTGACAAGCGCACCTCATGTGCAAGTGAGCCCCGTCAAGTAAAAGAGTACCATTTGACTTGAGTCTTCTTTTCATGTATGCAATGGCGGTGTCATTTGCACTAGCATTGTCAACGGTAATGCTAAACACCTTGTCAATGCCCCAATCATTCAAGCAAACCTCTAGACATCTTCCAATATCATCACCCTTATGAGAAGTAACTTGTACAAAGTTTAGGATCCTCTTATGCAACCCCAAATTAGTGTCCAAAAAATGGGCCGTGATGACCATGTAATTTATCATTTGAATTGAGGTCCAAGTGTCGGTTGTAATACTCACTCTCAACCCCTCAATCACACTTTTTATTTTAGCCTTCTTTTCAACATACAACTCCAAAACCGCCGCCGCCACCTTATGCCTATTAGGAAGTTTGTATTTTGGATTCAAATCACGAATAAAATCTCGAAAGTCTTGTTGATCAACCACCCTAAAAGACATCTCCGCTATTATAATCCACCTCACACATCTTCTATCAAGTCTTTTTTGATTGAAAGTGTGAGTGACAACCGGACCTCCCATCCTCGCTTGTGTCAATGTAGGTTGCTTCGGATCCACATTCTCAAAGAGACTAGAACCCGGGCATTTCCTCAAATGCTTAAGAATTCCCGTCGTCCCATGAATTATAGGGTGTGCCGGTACTAAGAGTTTGCAATGCTTGCATTCGGCCATGAAAGATTTCTCCCCATTATTATCGGTGATCGTTACCCTCTTAGCATCATTCCACGCCGGACTTGGACCCTTTCTCCTATTGCCCTTTTTCCGAGAAGGACCCTCCCATTGTCTCACTACTTCTTCTTCTTCTTCTACTTCCTCTTCCCCCTCTTCCCCCTCTTCCTCATCTTCTTCTAGTTGTTCTAATGCAATATCCTCCTCCATATCCGAATCATCATCCCAACAATCTTCATAATAATCATTATGCAAATAATCTTGAGGTGAGGGAGTGCCTAGTTGAAGGGTACCACTAGGTTGGGTTTGTTTTCGTTTTCCTAATACCGAGACCATAGGTGTACTAGATTGGCTACTAGACCCGTCCATCCTAACAAATAAAATAACAATGCACATTAATATATCACAACCACAGTTCAGCATATATCCAAATTCTAATCAATAAATAAAATAAATGGTTCAAAAATTTGAGCATTCAACATAGAAATATTTTTTGGATATAAATAGTATACATATTACCGGTCTTTATCTCATATTCCTTCGCAGTGGCCAGTGGGTGTCACAGTAACATAGATATTATCTATATTTGGTCTTCAAATAAGCATACAAAACTATCTAACTACATAAGCAGTTAAAGTAATATATGGTTTATGGTTTGTTATTTCATTAAGCTATATGAATAAAAGATATATTATCAGACCAAAGCACCAAACGAAACAACGTGGTATCTCATTTATGATGTATGATTACAATTTATAAAATCAGACCAAAACATCAAAATGAAATAACATGTCATCTCAAGAGTATCAATTATGCAGACCAAATGTCAGGGAACAAACTTTCATCCTAAGCAAAACTAAAAGAGTTAAAAAGTACCTCTCACGGGTGTAAAAAGTGAATGGTATGTTAGAAAGCACGCATCAACAGATATCCAGCTGGATGACAGTAGATCACAGCTTCTTAGTGTCTTTAGCTCAGGAAAATGGAGTATCTGTAGAAAGGGAAGTTCAGAACAACATCCGAAAAAAGGGAGGTCATAAATAGCAAGATATATCACTATTGATGCTAGAGAGAAATGAAATTATAAGTTTATAACCTTGTCAGCTAAAATATTTTAGCCTATCAGTTTCGTAATCACAGCTACCATCACTGCTAGAATCCCTGAAGTCACTATCACTGTCCTCATCTGGTTGCCTATCAATAAACGACCATCAATCTTTGAATAACATAAATGAATGAAATAAACCATTCATGTTTTGACAAAAAGCAAATATGTAAACTAAAGTAAGCAACGGGCAATAGTCAGTATACACTGATTCCGTTAAAAGTATATATTCTGATGCAATGAGTAAACAAACATAGTAATCCATGAAACCCGTTTACCATAAGTGCACGCACCATACAATCAAGAACAACAACAAATTCTCAAATTCAGTTTTGGATTTACCTCTGAGTAAATGCAGGACAAAAATCATTTTGCAGAGAGATAACGGTACACTTATCACTGATTCACTATCATGAAAGAAAATACAAACAATGCATGCATTTGACTATAACCAACTAGAACTATATCG